GATAGATAGATAGATAGATAGATAGATAGATAGATAGATAGATAGATAGATAGATAGATAGATAGATAGATAGATAGATAGATAGATAGATAGATAGATAGATAGATAGATAGATAGATAGATAGATAGATAGATAGATAGATAGATAGATAGATAGATAGATAGATAGATAGATAGATAGATAGATAGATAGATAGATAGATAGATAGATAGATAGATAGATAGATAGATAGATAGATAGATAGATAGATAGATAGATAGATAGATAGATAGATAGATAGATAGATAGATAGATAGATAGATAGATAGATAGATAGATAGATAGATAGATAGATAGATAGATAGATAGATAGATAGATAGATAGATAGATAGATAGATAGATAGATAGATAGATAGATAGATAGATAGATAGATAGATAGATAGATAGATAGATAGATAGATAGATAGATAGATAGATAGATAGATAGATAGATAGATAGATAGATAGATAGATAGATAGATAGATAGATAGATAGATAGATAGATAGATAGATAGATAGATAGATAGATAGATAGATAGATAGATAGATAAATAGATAGATAGATAGATACTGTATCAATTTTTTCAAAATTCAAGAATAATATTGAAAGAATTGTTTAAAATTAAAATCATTAATTATAATTATGGAAATAATTTCATTTAATTTAAAAAACAAAAGTACTAAATATGTCGTCGTTTGTGTTAATACCTGTTTTATTGATTTTGTTATTTCTCTACTGCAGTTATGTTTAAAAATAAATCAGGTATCTTGTTTTCATTGCAAACAAAAATTAATTACTTTCATACGTCAAATTATTAATTTATTGATTAATAAATATTGATATTAAATACAATGTAGAACTAAAAATAAAATATAAGCGAGTAAAAAGGTGAAATATCATTATTAATGATTAAAAATATAGCCTTGAAAATCAGTAAAACTAACAAGCAATATTTGTGCTTGAAAAACAACACAGTGAAATGAATCCATGCAAACGAGCGAACGAACGAACAAACAAACAAACGAATGAACAAACAAACAAACCTACTTTTAATAATATTCCCAATATAATTAGATGGAGACATTATCTTAAAACTTGAACAACGCAACTTTCTCGTTTGAAAAAACCGCATATTACCAGCTGCAATATCGTCCGATGTAGTAGTAGCAGCAGTAGCAGCAGCAGCAGCAGTAGCAGTAGCAGCAATTGTAGTAACAGTAGTAGCAGTAGAACTAATAGTAGTGAAAATGTTAGTTGTAGTAGTAGCAGGAGTAATAGTGTTAGCATCGAATGTATGGTGTGTTTTATTCATTAGGTCTGTTTGAATTCAGTTCTTTCAAATAAAATAGCGCACGCAAGCAATGCTTTCAATTGAAGAGCTTGGGATGTTTATAAATACACTACGCATATTTATGTAAAACTATGAGTTTATGACATACATAGATACACACACACACACACGCACGAACACACAAACACACATGTATACACTATCAGAAATCAATATATACATACACACACACACACACACACACACACACACACATATATATATATATATATATATATATATATATATATAACCATTACAAAATAATAACGTCGCTATAAACAAACATAAAAGAAAATGCAAAATGATATAAATATTTCTGGCCTTGGCGATGATGAAGATGATGATGGGATGATGATAATGATGAAGATGAGGATGGTGTTGAGATAAATAGTTATGCCCTATTAAAAAGAACTCACTAAATAATAATTATAAAACAATATACATATAAACAAATATAAACAATCACATGTGACCAAATTTTAATCGGCAGATCGATAAAAGGGCTTTTGTATTGGCATGTGTGCACGTACGTATTAGAGGTGAGCACGGGAACGGAAATCGCGGGAATGAGTTAAAAAATGGGGAATGGGAATTTTCGGGAACGTTGTCATAAATAGAAATTCGGAAGGGAATCGAGAATGAGAAAAAAAATGGGATGGAATTGGGAACAAATTTCAACTCCTGCTCACCTCTAGTATATATGTGTATGTGCGCACGCGTGTGTGAATGTGAGCTAGTATGCGTTAGCGTATATAACGCACATGTATATGTATGTTGAAAAACGTAAGAAGTTCTGTTCATTCTACATTTGATTGATTATTTGTAAAAAGACTGGACTGACTGAAAGAACATCAATTTGATTGTCCTTGTGTTGCCTTAGCCTAATATAAGCATAATTGGCCATAGGCAGCCATTGTGACAGATTGTGTGTGTGTGTGTGTGTGTGCGCGTGTGTGTGTGCGTGTAAATGAGTATGTGTGTGTACGTGTGCGATTTATTTATTCATATAGTTTATTGCAAAGTTGAAAAATATCACTAAACCATGTAATGAATTCTTTTTAGATAACATAATATTATTTTTGAAGGAAAGATTTTGTAGAGTAAAACTTTAAAAGTAAGTACTTTACAGTAAAGGCTTTTGTACAGTAAAACTTTAAAATATCTACAGAAATAAATCAACAAATTCGCCAAAAAATTATTAAAAATTTTTAACCTCTAATTTCATTCGTATGTTACGAAAAGTTTTGAAATCCACCAAGACAAGTCATGCATATTTTTATCAAGAAACGTTTTTCAGACTGCAACACACGTAACAGCACAAACATGCAACTGACAGAAAAAACTTACAATTTCCTAAGCTTCTCCTACTCTTCTGACTAACAGCAACTGTTGTGTCACCAATCCCATCGCTGATGACAACCAGAATGTTTTCATTGGAGCAGTTGGGAGCTGTCATCGTCAGTTGTCAAACTAGAGTTGGAATATGATGGAAGATCAAGATAGTTAGACTGGAAGAAGATAGTAACAACAACAACAACGTGACATCGTGAGGCCGAAAGCCGCCTTTGTGTTAAAACTTTTAAAATTGGTACAAACTTATTTCGCCACAATTTAAAATACACTAACTCTAATACAAATCAGCAATCATTTTAACGAACATTTTACTTGACAATGTTTCTAAGAATTATTTCACTCTTATATCAAAGACTTGACAAATTCTCAGACGGTATGTGTGTAACATATCATGTGAGCCTAACATAATATAAATGCTTCCTCTTACAAATAATCAGATTGAAAATATAAAAAATCGCATTCATTTTATCTTATCTCAAGTGTAGCCAGCCTAATATACTTAACATAGGTGGATTTTAACGAATTTATATTTCATGTGCCATCACACATCAGCTAGCAATTATAAAATAATCAAATTAGTTTATGCTATTACCATCAGAGTGTCTGGGGTCAGAGATTTTTGCCGGAGTCTGAATTTTGAAAACCCGGAGTCAGATTTTTTAGGGGCCGGAGTCAGATATTTTACATCTAACTCCAACAAATCCAGTTCATACGCACTGATTAGCATGAATAAATTTTAAGCATAAGTGCTTAATTGGTTAGTTAGTTTGTTTGTTGGCTGGTTGGTTGATTGTTTTGCTGGCTGATTGGTTGGCTGGCTGGTTGGTTGGTTGGTTGGTTGGTTGGCTGGTTGGTTGGCTGGCTGGCTGATTGATTTAATAATTATTTATTTGAATTTGAAAAGTCAAATATACAATAGAATTTATAAATGTAGAGCAGGTAAGCCAGTCATAATGAACAAATAAATACATCAAAAATATTTTAAATTAGTCACCAGCCTATCAATCGATCATCCAATCAATCATTTAATCAATTAACGATTTATTCAGTCAGTCAGATAATCAATGCCTACAAATTATATAGCGCCATTTTCAATATTAAAAAGTCACACAGCACATGCATTCCTGCCAAATGAGGCATATTATACACACACATCAGAATAAGGTAGATGAAAATTTCTTCCTAATCACTACAACATGAAACCAATTTCTCCATCATCAGCAAACTCATTAACACTCTAACAAATAATACAAAACTTGTACTGCATTTGTTTCTCTGTGCATGTGTGTGTGTTTGTGTGAGTGAGTGTGTGTGTGTGTGTGTTTGTGTGTGTGTGTGTGTGTGTGTGTGTGTGTGAGTGTGTGTGTGTGTGTGTGTGTGTATGCATCATTGATCAAAGGCAAATGATGATCTTATCAATTTCCTACTGCCATTACAACATTGCATGCAAAACAAATAATCTATTATTATTCAGTATTCTAAACAATTTTTTCAGAGTTACAAAACTACATATTACTACTTACATAGCAATAACAATAATACAGTTAATTCACAGAAAATGGGCTTTTAACAGGCACTTGAAACATTATTGAATGATCAGATTAATTATAATTGAGACTTTAAATAGAAATCCATAACAAAAGTCTTGACATAAATAACGTCATAACTTATTGAAAATATGTTCTCTGTCTCTGTATCCAATACATACATACAGTGTGTGTGTGTGTGTGTGTTGTAATGTATCTGTATCTTCTTAATGATGTGTATTGTCTCATGCATGCCATGTATCATAGAGTATAATACATGATACTTTATCTGTATTTAATTTTAATGAAACCTAGCCAACTTCCAACCAATCCAATGCCAGGCAACATAAAATGAGTGACAATCAGATCAGATCAACATCAAATTAATTATTGAAAACAAGCAGGCAATCAATTTTATAAAAATTTATAAATTAGTTACTAGCGATTTAAAACATTTGAAATTTTTGAATGAATGATCGGCCATTAATAATAATTAACTAAATAAAAATAAAATTAAACTCTAAAGTCTAAACTAAAGAAAGCAAGAATTATTTTATTTCAACTTAATTCCAAAAATATGTGACCAAAGTTTATAATTGAAAAGTTAATCTAAATCAAACCTGTGCTCCAATGAATATTTATTCATCCAAGAAACAATAAAAATGTTTGATAACAGATCGTCACGATATAGTTTCTATTTTAAAAGTTCTCCACAGGATAAAGGACAACAACGACCTAACCATAGCATACACACTCACTTACATACACACAGTTACACACACAATTACACGCACCCACACAGCCTGCTAGCTTTTCCAGGAAGCTGAGATGAGATGAAGATGAGGGTGATAGCTGAATATGTTAATGAGATGAAGTGATGATGCGAATTACTAATGATATTGAGTTGAAATGATAAAAATAATAAAAAAAGATGACAGTGCCACTTTATAGTTATGACAACAAAACACGCTTTTGATAGTTATAATTCCTACACTATATTCACATCTAGACCTTATTTTTTACATTTAAAATTAATAAAGTAGATAATTGTTCGGCTAACTTCGTATTTACTCTCTATAAATAACAAATACATACGTTTGATAACTAAATTATGGTTCAATATTAGTTCTAATTTATTTTAAACCACTTTGGACAGTCATAATTCAATAAAAAGGCCTACCGAAAAAGTATAATTTACTAGTAGGAAGCGCTTGCTTCGTGCCTAATCTAATATCATTAATCGTTTCTGGTTTGTTACCGAACTCCACATTCTTGGTTTTATTGATTCAAGACAATTTGGTTGAAGCACAAATTTTTTTAAAATATAACACACGGCAGCATTTAATAAGAAAACAATTTATTTGTTTATTCGGTTAACACTATCGATATTATTGAAATTATCTATCGCGCAAACGGAAGTGTTGCAAAATCCATAACAAGATAACAAGCAAGCCAATCAGACATGAATCATCACATCAGTTAACAAAAATTATTATTAAGAGTACAAACACAGACACAATCCATCAATCATGTTCTTCATGACCTCAGGGTAGGAGTCAGAAGGAGATGTAAGAATGTTGATGAGGCAGTCATCCATACATTTCATCGTAACTACCTTGTTATCCAATGATCCGTAGCACAACCACTCATCATAAAACGTATTTGCGCTGTTAAAATGCGTGTCGGCGTTGTTATTGGTAAAGATTTCGTCAGTTTTTGTATTTTGTTTCTTTACAAACGTGACGTACTTGCGGTTAATTACCGATACAACGGCAAATAATTTCAATAAATTCGTTTCTGACTGTTCATCTCCCAATGAAGAATTCTCATCTGAACTCGAGGCAGGTTGTGTTTGCTTATTTCGGAGTTTTCTAGTGAAATTAAATTGGAGGTGGAGAGAAGGAACTATGCAAACAGAAGGTGATCTTTTGATTCCTAACACGAAAACTTTAAATTTGTTGGTAGAAAAATTCATTTGCTTTTTTCTCAAGCACGACATTTCAAAAGCTTCTTGAGAATTCAAATATGTCTTTTTGTTATTATTGATGATTAAATCGGATATTACGTGAAATTCAATGTTTTTATAAGTATCAATTGTGAAATCTAAAAAGGATAACAAACAGTTGAATGAATTTTTGTAAACTAAACTCACAAGTTTTTCATTAAATTCTTTATAGATAGGTTGCATGATGCTCATTATGCTTCCTGTTTCCTTCTTATCCAATATAGAAAGATCCTTCCTTAAGACTTGAATAACATTATTGTATATTCTTTCTCTAATTAAACATTTAAGACTAGTTTTAGAATCATCAACGTTAAATAAATTATCAAATGAACTGTTGAAGGAGAACAACGAATACAAAACACTTTCAAAAACATTTAGCTTAACGTTTTCATCATCAGTCCATGGGAAATCCACACCATTAATTAACTGATCCATGAATAAGACATCTTTTGCTCTAACAAGCCCTGCCATGGGCAAAAATAACGCATGTTTTGGTCTGGCAGTAAAATATTTAACATTTTTGTAGATGCCAGTCGCAGAGCCAATTGGGTTATCAAATTCCACACCAGCAAAGCTGCCATTATGGTCAGGTAGTTCTCCAATCCATCTCACATTTCCAAACTCTCCATCATCATTATCATTATACCAGATTATTCTGTCACCCAAACTTAACTGGGAATTGTCTATTAGTGAGTTTGATGGAAATGAAGAGATAGATACATTCAACGAACCTGACAGTGCCTGGCACTGAGCAGCAGAATTGGAAACTCGCTGTAATTTGAGGTTAGACAAAGTTGTAAATTGGGCACAATTTTTTGCACAATCAAAAAATTTTTTCTCTCGATATATTCCACTATGAGCCCCTTTTCCACTGAACTCAGAATTAAGTTCAACTCCAAAATATGTCCCATCTTTGCCAGGAACAGGGCCTTTATATTTTATTTTGCCAGTCAAGTTTGTTTCCGTTTTGCCAATTTTAAGAATTAAAACTTCATCATCCAGCTTGGAACATACACCTTCTTTCAACCAACTTTTCTCGTTAAACACTTCTAGCCTTTTTACGTTTGGCTGAATTGGTCTCAACAAATTAAATTCATCTTCTGAAATCAAGGACTGATGTGCATATGATGAAGATTTTTTGGCAACAACCATTCTTGCGTTTGCTTTTGCTTCGATGAAAATGTCCTCGCCTTCTTCTTTATGCTCTTGTCCATCTTCTCCACATGCACTCGATGAAGTTTCATTTTTTTTCAACAACCAAAGTTGACCAAGATCACTTTCAATGTTTCCGTCGATCGTTGAAAATTCACTAATTTGAACGAAATACATAATAACAAAGGTCAGAAACTTTACACTTTTACAGATTTTCAGTTTAGTTTTTACAATAATAGAAAGTAGAAACATTCGGAATTTCCCATAGAACAAACATTTTAGTTATACATTTGGCACTGTTAACAAAAAGCAGATAAATATTTTTAAATTAAACTAATTATTTATTTATTTTATATAAATAAATTTATTTATTGCGTAATTATTTATTAAAATATTTCAAGAGGGATTATTAAGGGAGAGAGGAATTAAAATCTATTCTAAAAAATATAATACTTTTATTATGAAAGCGATAAACAATAAAAAAATCATTTTTATTGCCCGATCCGTCTCTAGTTATTAAATGAATGAAAGTAGCTGGTAGAGACGTACACACATAAATAATAGGAATATATTTAGTTATATGCCTAATAAAGATTGGCACAACATACGTCATATTAGACACAAAAAATAGAATAATAATCTTTTTCGTCCGCGAAATTTAAATAAATATAAAATGGAGGTGCAACCACAACAAGAAGCTGACGACGATGTCACGGCTACTAACAACAACAACAATGCTGCAGACGCCTGTTCAAATTCTGCACTAACCCTGGATCTGAACAAAATTGACTTACCTACCTTTAGGCAGATGATCAAGCCTTACTTACAAAGGGTTGGTCTGTCTCTCTGCCTTGTTAAACTAACTTTTTGTATTTTTTTTTGTTTTAATTTTAATAACATTACATTACTTACAGATTACACCTGCGTGCAACACCTACACTATTGCACTACTAATGTTATTCCTTAATTTTATTGTGAAGTCAAATAAATTTCCACTTCTCAATGAATCAAATAATTAAAATAAAATTTATGTCATCATATTTATAATTATAAATTTTATAATTATAAACAAAAGAATATTTTACTAATTACTTCTTCCAATATAAATGGAACATTTGTAATGAGTTAATTTAATAATGACTACTCCTTATTTCAGCATATTAATTTAATTAAAATAATAAATAAATAAATAGAGAAAATTTATCTTTCAGCACCAGCTTGAAACAGCTTTATTCTGGTATGACAAATTAGTGACATTGTCAAAAGGTATTTTTATTTTTAAAATTATTTTTAAATTTATTTATTAATAAATTTAATTTATTTACATGTTTACTATATAGTATATATAAACTAAAGCAACATAATTATTCAAAACTTCAATTATAAGGCAAGAGGGACTAACTATTTCTGTTATAAATTAAAACAAAATTTTTTACAAAATCTTTAATCTTATTAATTTTATATACAAAATTTCTAAAATCAGATGTTTAATAAAGTTTTTTATTGATTAAATTAACAAATTTGTAGTTTTTTAAATACTGACAAATAATAAATCAAAAAGCAATTAATAATAAGTTAGACGAAAACCATTGTGATTAAATATCGTTTTAAAGTTATCAAAGATTATCTATTTCATTTTGTTATCTTTTTTTAGGAAATCCGCAAGATGTTTACTGGTATGCAGACACCCTATACAAATCAGGCCAGTACCACAGAGCCTCCAAACTGCTTGAGAGATACAAACTTGATGAGGTTTTGAAGTTTGAGTTTGTTTTTTTTTGCTCTTTTATACTGTTTTTTATTCTCATTTTTATTTGATGGATTATTTTTTTAATGATTGAAAATTTTATTATTATTTAATTAGGCTTTTTATAGTTTTTTGTAAATTTGTTATGATTTATTTTTATTCAAATGAGTTTTATTTTGAATTTAGAGATGTGTTTCAGGGAGGTACTTGAAAGCCAAGTGTCATGTTAGTTCATTCATTCATTCGCTCATTCATTCATTCGTTCATCCATTTTTTCATTCATTTGTTCGATAGTTCATTCATTTATTCACTTATTTGCTAATCTTATTCAATATTTACAAATAATTGAATGACTGACTGGATGGCATATTGATTTTACGATCAATTTGAATTGATTGGGTGTTGTTCTAATTTATTTTTCATTTATTTTTTGTAATTTGCAGTACGAGTCGAAAGACTTCCAAGAGGCCCTGAACATTCTGCAGGATTTTGATGAGAGCGAAAAATCCAAAGATATAAAAAGTGAAAATATTGATGGCATACCAAAAAGTGATGTCAGTTTTCTGTTGTTGCATCTTCTTATCATTGATGTTATTATTCTTATTTATAATTATTTGTTTTTTGCTACGTCAACAAATAACTTTCGACAGTTTTTCATTTTTGCAGCCTTTTGTTGAGTAATTTATACAGTAATTTATTTGAAATCTAGCATACTTACTATTTTTGTTTTCTATTAATTTTTGTTTTTCAAACATGATTACTAATGAGTTTATTAATTAACCTAAGATGTTGGCCAGAAATATTTTGATATTGTAATAATTCTTATGAAATATATCCAACAGGCCTCATTGGAGAGTGCAGTCTTGTTATTGAAAGCAAAGATCTACGAATGTATGGAAAACCGAGAGCTGGCACTGTCCTGCTACAAAAAATCGTTAAAGTTGGATGTGAGGTGCTTTGAGGCTTTCAACAACCTCATCCAACATCAAATGCTCAGTGCTCCTGAAGGTTTGCTCGCACACTGGCACACTCCTTCTTACTGACTGTTGCTTTAGATGAAAATTTCTTATGCTAGCTCTTATAAATAGCTGATTTTGTTAATTGATTGATTGAAAAAATGATTGATTGATTGATTGATTGATTGATTGATTGATTGATTGATTGATTGATTGATTGATTGATTGATTGATTGATTGAAAAGATGATTGATAATCTGATTCACTGACCAATCATTCAACAGAGAAGAAACTAATGCAGCAGTTGAACTTCAACTTATGTGAGGATGAGTCCGAGAGAACACTCACCAAGTACCTCTACAGGAAGATGCTTAAAAAGGTTAAGATACAACTTCATACTTTCTTAGTTCGTAAAATAAATACTCTGTATAATAATTTTGTTAAATAACTGTTGAGACTTTTTGAGGAAAATGTAATAATAATAATAATAAAATCATAATCACGTGATCAGTACAACAAGCCACAGGACGTTTCAAATGAGATAGACCAACTTAACGACAACTTCGACGTTTTGGTGTCGAAGGCAGAACAACTCTTTTACAACTGCGAGTTCAACAACTGCTTCAAAATAACCTCTGGGTCTGTTGTTTCTTATCATCGTAAATTCTCGTAAATATTGTCAAAACCAGCACCATCATATGATTATCATTACAATCAACATCATAGTCTTATTTGTTGTGATAGTGTCCACAGCTCCAATTCATCATAACAGCCATCATCACATGGATTCACCGTCCAAATCATCACCACAAACGCTTTAGGATCTTGAAATCAGATCCATACAATCCATCCTGCTTGCCTGTCCATATAGCTTCATTGGTGGAACTCAGAAAAACAAAGGGTCCGTCGTTACAACGATATTGTTATTGTCATTAAATTTTTATTGGTAGTATAATTGAGTGTGTTTGTGTCTGTGTGTGTGTGTGTGGTGTGTGTGTGTGTGTGGTGTGTGTGTGTATGTCTGTGTGTGTGTGTTTGCATAAGTTATTGGCACGTTCTTTTGGGAGGTGTGTATATATGCATTAGACGTGTGCCTCTGAAACCACATTGAAAACTTATAGTACCTACAGAGTTAAAAAGGCAATCCCACATCAACTGTCATACAGTTTCTAAGTTTCATCCTCGTTTTCATATACTTGTTGATTCTTATTATATTTTGTGCAATAAGCTTTTGTGTAGCTTGATGTTTTTATTTTTAATATTCAGAGTTATTCTACCTCGCTCACAAGCTCGTCGATTTGTATCCCAATAAAGAAGTAATTTTATTTTGATTTCTCTATTTCATTTTAATATTTAGTTGACAGTTTGTGGTTATTCCATCAATGTACTACCTGATGCTCTTCCGATTCTAATAACTTGAAAACATCAGCCAGCAGCAAGCCCCAAAATTGTTCTTCATCAAATAAAAGCCTTCACCTCATCAGAAAAATAATCAGAAAAATAATATCCACCCATATTAAGCAATCATTCATTGAGGTTTGAAGACACATCCATCCCGCCACTATTTATTACCGTCACAGATATCCTGGTTTGCAGTCGGCGCCTATTACTTCCTCATCAACAAGCACGAACCAGCCCGCCGGTACCTCAGCAAGTCGACCACCTTGAACAGAGTGTTCAGTCCAGCCTGGCTCATGTACGGGCACTCATTCGGTGTCGAGAACGAACACGACCAGGCCATGGCTGCATACTTCTCGGCGTCTAAACTCATGGAAGGGTATTTCATTGTGCTGTCGTTCGTCAGAGTTCTTGCCAATGTTGTCGTTATTTTGATCAGGCTATTTCTGTCTCATTACTTTTTCTCATTTGTACCAATAACTTTTTTGTTGATTTTATTGCTTGTTTTATCTCATTTTACTTGCTCACGATTTTCACTGCAACTGTTGTTGTTGCATGCAATCAGCTGCCACCTTCCCCTCCTATACATCGGGCTGGAGTATGGACTGACCAACAACTCTAAATTAGCAGACCGGTTCTTCACTGAGGCGCAGAAGATAGCTCCCGAAGACCCGTTTGTTCTGCACGAGATTGCAGTCATTGCATTTCAAAATCAACAGTTCGTGCTTTGTGCAGCTGTTGAAAAATTGTTTAATTTCGTCTGATATCTTCATCACTTTCATTTTTTAATTCAATTTAAAATGATTGTCGTCGTCGATAACGTTATAAATATTCATTAAAATTATTAATCATCAATGTCTCCTGTGATATCACCTGCTTAGCAATGTCGCATTTTTATTAAAAATGGTTAAAACTGATAAAACGCAATCAGTCAAATAACTTGATGACTTCTGCTCTAGATATGCAGAAGCTGAGAATCATTTCTTGAATGCATTGAACAAGTTTGTCGCATCACCTCAAAGCTTGAAGTCAGACAAATGGGAGCCTCTATTTAATAATCTCGGTCATGTCAGCAGGAAGCTCAAGTCAGTCTTTCGAGTTCCTCTTCTTACATAGGTTTCAGATGTCGTTATATTGAGCTATGTAAAATTTTAAGATGTGACTTTTTGGAGTGTTTTGAGAGAAATTTTAAAATATTTTTTTTGATTTGTTGACGGGCAACAATATAACAGCTTTTAAATCAACTGTTTCAGTTTAATAATATAAAGATCTGCGGTGGTGATGTTCGTAATTATAAAGCGAAGGCACTACAGCATCATTAATATTTGGAATATTTTTCATCTGAATATCAATTTTTTGAAATTATTCTTATATAAAATACAAAACAGGAAATTTCAGAATTCTATAAAGTACCACAAAGAAGCTCTCACCTTGCTTCCCAACAATTCTTCAACGTACTCAGCTCTTGGTTACACATATGCTCTCAGTGGCGACTACCAGTCGTCCATCGATTGCTTTCATAAGGTTCATAGTGCACAATGTTTGGTCTTTTGTAGAATTCAATTTATATCCCAGCGAGGAATTTGTTGGTTTATTGGTCTTCTGTTTGGTTGATTAAATGGTTGAATGATTGATAATCTTAATTAATGATTTGTAAGGATGTGATGTTTGCTTCAGAGCATATAGCACTGTCAACACTTGTTCAGTTTGACATAAACCTCTTATCAAAATGAATAAAATGTTGATGAACGGCAGTCTCTGGCAATACGCAAAGATGATGCCTTCACGACGACGATGCTCAACATGGTCGTCGAACATTTCATGAATGAATACAAACCATATCCAGGTTATCCATCTCATTATTTATTCATTTGCTGGGGAGACTATTGCTATGTAACTTCGTCTGTTTACTTGCAGAATTCATAATAGGTCGACATTTCATTCTAAATTTTGCACTCTTCTAATTTTTTTCCTATTTGTTTCATGCCATCTTTAGGGAAAATTAGCTATTATAGATCATTGCTTAAATATATTTGTTTATGTTCCACACAAAAATTTGTCATATTAAATTTTTGCCGTGAGCAAATTATTTTCTGTTGCACCAACGTTTACAGAATTTTCAGACGCCCTCCCGTTTTTTACCCCTGCCGACACCATTCCAAAATATCTTGGGAGTTCAAAAGTTGAAGTGACGAAGAGCGAAAGTAGCAGCATAACGCTCGATGACACGGAAGAACCGCTAGCCGTCAAGGAGGTCTCCATGATCCAAGACGAGGAAATGGAAGATGTTTGATATTCTGATTGACGATATCAGTCTTTTTCTAGTTATAATGAAATTAAATCGCATTATTCAATTCAACTGATCACTTTCGATACTTTCAATAAATTCTGTTCTTGCCTTTTGTTATATAAAAATGCAACGACTACAGTCCCAAATTTCGTGCTATACTTTTCTGACACAATAAACCGGAATCACTTTCAGTTTTTCTTATATTGATATTAAGACATCCACCAAAATTTGAATTGAAAATTGAAATGAACGTATCGCATACGCGTTGCACAAATGCAATGATACCGAGCACTTTCTGGCTAATGTTCGGTGCGAAATCGTTCGACACGGCAAACGCATACTAGCTGTTATACCACACCAGGCTCCCAAACGCATTCTAGAAAAAAGTAACATGCTTCCACTTCCGATTGAACAGTCCAAAGACCCTGCTCATTGTTTCTGTCATGGCACAGACTCATTTTTTAAAAACGATTACTAGACAAACACCTCAAAAGTAAGATTTGTTTTTCCATGAATATAGTGTTGCGCAATAAAGTAGCTTATCAAAAGAGACATACAAGTAATCATCGGAGATATCTGCTTAAGTCGGAACCTTTTGAAGACTCGTAGACACTCAAAGCTCGTTTCAAGCTCAATCTTGATGTCATCATTTGGTTTTTAACGCCTAAAAAATACACACTTGAAAGTACACTTTTTCAATCGATATCTAATTCTACTTTTCAAAAATCATAATAAAATAAAAAAGATACAATAGTTATTTATAAGAGCAGTCAGTTGTCATCAACCTCTACAAATGTAATTCTAAAATATCATGTAATGGTATAAAAACATTTGTTTGAGTGTCCTCACAAAATATGTTGTTATCACTTTATCAGACCTAAGTATCTAAAACTGAACGTAAGGATGCGTAATAACATAATTCAACAATTAATTTCATTTTCACGATTCAAGATGTGAATTTAATGTGGTTCCAAAAAAAATAGAAATAATAATTATTGATACAAATTGGCTAACATGGCAAATTGACTGCTTAACTTTTAGCATGGTCAACAAAAAATAGCTAATGAAACCGTCAGATTAATTAGCATAATTAAAAAAAAAATATTTAAAAAACTAAAAGCAACAAACAATTAAGCGTGTATATATTTATATAAATAATTTGTGCGCCTTATTGCAGACACAGACCAAACAATACAAAATGATGATAGCTACACACACACACACGCGCGCGCGCGCGCGCGTTTACGTTTATGCCATAAAAAGATAAATCGTGTACACGTTGGAGCACTCATTTAATTATTTCCATGTTCTATAACTTAAATTTATACGATTATGAACAAGAATCATTTACCAGTCTTACAATATATGGCAAACAGTGACTTAAAATAATATGAGACGAAATAATTTATCAAAGCAGAGAATGACAATGAAATTTGGGAATAATAATAAATCAGAACGCTAGAAACTTGTCACTTTCACGATGGTAGAAATAATAATAAATTAAGATTAATGTAAATAGTTGCCATTTGCGTGATCAGTCAATCAGTAGATTGGATGGATGGTTCAGACAATCAGCCAAGGAAGGACAACCATCCCTTGCTTGAATTTTTCGACTGCAAAACCTGCGAAGAGAGTTTTATTTGATGTATATTAAATAGCATTCTGACAAGTTACTAAGTTTACACATCGGTATCTAAGTGATGGCATCTAGGATTATGTTAATACAAATGAATAGGAATGAGCAAAAAGGTTAAGAAAGAAACATCACATACTGAGTTGTCGCCATTGCTGAATGATGATAATGATGAAACCTTCACTAGAGATTTTTTCATCTCAAATGTTGCCACCTCCTAAATAATTAATGTACAATAAACAAAACCCTGACATTAAAATCTCAATAAAGTAACAACAAACAAGCACACATAATTCAGTTTTATAAGAATGAAACACATAACAACATCTATTTTCGAAAAAAAAGAAACATCAACAAACAACTACCAACAAGAAAGCACCATGACAAGAACAATGCAACAACAAAAAAACCCACATCTCCTTTCTGGTCAAGTAGTACAGTGTTGTTGACTTCGGCAACGTGCCATGACTGACCCTTCATGACCAAATCACTGGGTGGTGCATGCACCTTGTCTGCATCAGCACTCCAAACCTTTGTATGAAAGATTTTTATAATTTAAACTTTGTGTAACTAACTATTCAACAAAGAAACTACGGTTGCCTTTACAACATCAATTTCATAAGTGAAAATGATACCAAAAGAGTGAGCAAAATTATTTTGATAAAAATTGAAATGGCAAGATAAGATTTAGCTTAAAGATTTTGCAAATTTTTGACAAAAACTTGATTTTTTCACAAACGCTATAACCAATTCACCAGTAAAAAACACATCCAAAAATTGACTTGAAAAATCAGTTGCATCAACAATTGAGCATAAGCGTTATTTAATGGAATAGAAGCAACCATTAAAATAAAATAATAATTGACAGCAAGTACAACTATAGCAACAATAGAAGAATAAGAAGAAAGTGTGAACTAACAGTAACAGTAGAGCCAGGTTTTAAGAGAAGATTCCTGTGGAACTTGTATGTTGTCTCATTGTCACCACTGCTGTGCTTCAGCTGCCATCCACCTAGAGCCAGCTCCTGTTTATTATTTTAACCCAAATATCATAGATACAAAATGATTAGAAATGAAAGGACACAAAATGAAGGAGTCTGAATGAATCAACCTTTTCATCAGAAGTATTACTGAGTTTGATGAACTTTCCTTCAGGGTCAACAGCCTCAAATTTGACAATATCATTGGTGACAGATGAGCACACAAACTCAGATGAAGTTGCCACTGATGCAATGCTCGTATCTGCGCCGACATCAGAACTATCCAGCAATCTTGATGAAAACCTTTCAGACTCATCATCATCGTAACGCTTCCTCTTTCTCGATGAATCACTTCCAGCAGAACTGTACCTTACTCCTACGACACCTTTCAATCTGAAATTTATAAATTTTTAAAAATCAACAAAAATATATACTTAATCATACTTGAATAGATTAAAATTTTTCAATTTCCAATTCTGAAAGTATTAAATTAGTTATTGAAAGAGAAATGTTGATCCCGATAAGACACCTACCTGGACTCCTCACTCTCAAGAAGTTTCCTGTAGGCAGCGATCTCAGTGTCCAGCTTGATCTTCGTGTCCATGAGATCTCTGTACTCTTCCATCTGCTCCTCGATTGTCTTCTTCAACAGACGAATTTGTACATTGAGAGAATCCAATTCAGCTGCATGTTCATCTTTTGCTGCTTTCAACCTAATCTCCAGATCTCTTATAATGGTTTCATAATCGTGGAGCTGTTATGTGCAATAATAACTTTATTAAAATAATATAAGCAAAATGTATTTTTGAGATAAACAAGCACAACAGCTTTTCATTAAAACATCTATTTCTTCTTAACTAACTATTACCACTCAGCCCATGATAATGACACCAATCACTGAACAGTAAGCACACATTAATCCAAAATGCACTCATTCACACATAGCAGTAATTGCAAACATTTTAACCAGATAACACATTAGCATCTTTTGCATATGTCCTGTTATCAGCAGGAACAATATGAAGGTGCACTCAACAAACATCCATTTATAATTGTCAGACCAAAGAACATTCATTATTACAGTGCTTCTCAAAGTGGTGGTCCGCGGACCAATAGCTGCCGGTCTGCGGCGAGGTTCCAAAAATTTTGAAAATTAATCAGAAAATTCATAGCATAGCTTGGACAGCAACGCAATTGCGAAAGTCATTGTTATTACTAGTAGATGAGTTTAAAGGTAAGCAAGTTCACGAATGCATATGCATGACTATAATTAATATTCAATGTGATAACGCGAAAGGACACGTGACCAATTAACTATCGGATCCAACTTAAATATTCAATCTTTCTTTATCAGCTATTTGCATATGTTCAGAGTAAAATTGATAAAAACCCGGTAAAACTAGAAGTTAACAACGTTATTGCTAAATTAAAATATATTTGTAATTTTGAAATTTATATATAAATTGAATAACTCATTTTGCAATTTATTAAATTTTATTCAAATTAATATATAAAGTTGCTAGAACTGTTGTCAGGTTGGTTCAGATTTTATTTAATATTTTCATTTTATTTTGATGTTATCAAGACCGCTAATTTGTTTTCTTGAAAGTAAAAGTTTATTTTATTCAAAAATAACTACTTTAGGCATGGCGAAACAAGGCCCGATAGACAAATTTTTGAAAAGGAAACGTCAGGAAGAGAATTTGATATATGAAAGCAGTGACGATTCTTCAGTTTCAGACAATGAAAATGGCATCGTAAAGGCAATTGGTATTGAAACGTGTGCAACAAAACGTATTAGAACTAGCTTCATTCGAAAGTACGATGAATCATACATTCAATTTGGCTTCATGCTAATGGACGATGGAACAGAGTTGAAACCGCAGTGCGTTATTTGCAGCGAGGTTTTGTCGAACGAAGCAATGAAGCCATCAAAACTAAAAAGACATTTAAATACCAAACACAAAGACATTTGCACAAAACCAAAAGAATATTTTGAGAGAAAACGCATTGATCTGAAGAGTCGCCAAAAACAAATGTTTCGTATTTCCCATATAAACACGTGTGCGCTACGAGCTTCATATAAAGTAGCTCTGCGAATTGCCAAAGCGAAAAAGGCATTCACAATTGGTGAAACGTTAATAAAAGATTGCATCAAAGATGTCTGTTTTGAGATGCTGGATGAGCAGGCTTCAAAAAAAATAGACCAGGTGCCACTTTCAAACAGTACTATTGGTCGATGCATTAGCGATATGGCAGAAGACATTGAAGAGCAGCTAGTTGAACAAATGAAACTTACAAAGTATTATTCTTTGCAGCTGGATGAAAGCACAGATGTGGCCAATATGGCTATTTTGTTAGTTTATGTTCGTTTTGAATACGAAGGAGATTTAAAGGAGGAATTTTTCTTTTCAGCATCACTCCCAACAAATACAAAACTGTCAGTGAATATCATTGGTAAAGGAATAGATTTCAAATATTGTGTTGGTGTCTGTTCAGATGGTGCTGCAGCAATGACTGGAAGTTATTCTGGTGTTGTAACTAAAATTAAAGCAATAGCACCGGAGTGTAAAGCAACACATTGTTGCATTCACCGAGAAAGTTTAGCAGTGAAGAAAATGTCAGATGAACTGAATAATGTGCTCAGCGAAGTAGTCAAAATAGTAAATTATGTGAAAGCAAATGCACTAAATTCAAGACTTTTTGCCAGATTATGTGAAGAAATGGGGGCTGATCATAAACATCTATTGTTACACACTGAAGTGCCTTGGCTATCCAGAGGAAAGGTTCTCGCAAGAGTATTTTAATTAAAAAATGAACTAGCAGAGTTTCTGCAGGTTAAAAAGCCCATCTGGTCAGAATTACTTATGAATATCAATTGGCTCGCAAAATTGGCTTATTTGTCAGACATATTTGCATTATTAAATGATCTCAATGTTTCAATCCAAGGGAAAATGGCGACTGTTTTTACGATGGCTGATAAAATTGAAGGACAAAAAAGAAAGCTAAAATCTTGGATAAAAAGATTGGAAAAAGAATGTTTCGAAATGTTTTTTAATTTAGCTACAGTCATTGATGAAGCAGGCAAAGGATTTGACATCAAAAGTTTGAAAACCTTAATCATTGAGCATCTGTCCAGCTTATCTGAACGGTTTGAATTTTATTTTCCTACGGAGGATGACCCACGAATAGGAAAGACATGGATCAGAAATCCTTTTGTTGAACATAAGGAAAATTTGACTGTTAAGTTGGAAGATAAAATTTTGGAGCTTGCTGCTGACCAAGGCCTAAAAATGAAGTTTGAAAATACATCATCTCTTTCCGCTTTCTGGATCAGCATCAAGTCGGAATACCCAGAGCTCACTGACGAAGCAATAAAAACCCTTCTTCTTTTCCCTTCTACTTATTTATGCGAAGTTGGATTTTCATGTTTGACTGCAATGAAAACAAAATACAGAAACTGTTTGGAAGTTTGTTCTTCGCTACGTGTGGCACTGTCTTCGTTTCAGCCACGTCTTGAGGAATTAATAAATAGAAAACAAGCTCATTCATCTCACTAATTTTTTACAACAATTTTTATTTTCTAATGTCAAAATATTTTTTATTGTTATTTCATTTTGAACAAAGTTATACAAAAAAGATTCAAATTTTGTAAAATTGATAACACTTCGCATATATATATATTCCTGTTAGATTCGTTGCCGGTCCGCCGAACCAAAAAGTTTGAGAAGCACTGCATTATTACACCCTCAGCATAAACATTTGCTATCAAAAAATACAGAACCAGTGATAAATCAGTGTCTCTCAACTCTCAAGTATACCAAATTTTGTATTTCAGGATATGAACTATTAAAAAACAAATGTATTTGAAAATCTTTGGATAATTACTGTAATCTTGATATAACAATTCTTAAACTTAAAAAAAAGAAAGCATGTAGAATCATAAAAAAAAAACAGATTAACCATCAAATACAAAACATGCACTTGATTTTCATACACTTCCTTAGAAACATCAAGAGTCATGCTACCTAATACATGCACATCATATTGACAGATAAGCAGAAATAATGGAAAACCTTGTTGTTCAGTCTGGATACATCAATAAGCAGCTCTTCAATCCTCTTCTTTGAATTCTTAAGGTCACTCAAATTCTTCTCCGAGTTGCCTTCATTTCTAGAGGCTGCATCTCTTAATTCTGCATACTAGTTGGATGTCATGATAGTATGAACAATATATTATTATTGATGCTGACATGTTATCGCTGCATTACAAAATTAAATGAGAACATATAAATGTACAATAATATTAAAATTAATTATTTACAATTTCTACTAGAAAGAGAGCTAAATGGGAGAACTTGTCAAAAATGTATACTAAAAATAAACTAACACTCAAAATAAAAAATATACCTATGAAAATTAATTAACCAAATAATATATATTCAGAGCAAACTTACGCAATCTAAGTATTTTAAACCAAATTTACAAGTTCAACATTATAGCATATGAAATTTTGTAATGAAGTGAACAGGCAAGAAACCTTCTTCTCGAAGACTGCCTCCGTCTCGAGCCTCATCGATCTGATCTGGTCTTCATTTTCTGCTCGTATCTGCTGCAAGGCCTCCATCAGCCTGCTGTCATATTCATCCTGCAGACGATGGTCTGTCTCCTCGACTACAACGTGAGATTTCGTAATTGTTTCTGAGATTTCCTTTTTATTTTTAATTATTATATTATAATCAACTATCATACTTTTAAATGAAAATTTTAAATAATTATGAATTTATTTAATCTAATTAGTGTTTAAAAGATGAATAAATTATAGGCACAAAAAAGTCTACTTGAATAATTAATTGACAATTAGAACATTTAAAAGTAGAAACTATAAAAATTTAGAATATTAGAAAAATATTACTTGTCGATGAAGCTGGTCCTTGAAATCCATATCTTCCTTGAAGCTTTGAAATCTATTCTCAAGGTCAATTCGACTTACCATCTCCTCCTCCAAATTCTTCTTAGCTGCAGCTAAATTCCTATTTGCATTATCAAGCTCCTTTTTCATTTTCTGAAAAATAAAAATAAAGGGTAGCCCATGGAACTAATTTTTCAAATATATAATTATATATATAATATATTATTAAATATCATTGCCTGGAGATTTTAATTTTAAAAGAAGTAATTAATATCCCACATTGAATTCCTCTTCCCAATGTTTCCTCATTGCAAGGGCATCACCCAATCTTGCCTGCAGGTCAGCAACCTGAGCTTCAGCTGATGCTGCTTTTTGTGTGACAAGTGCTAAATCACCATCCCGAATCTTTAGTCTAAAAATTGAATATTTGAGCTTCAAATTTTAAAAGATTTTTGAGAACAGTATGAAATAACATAACACACATACATAACTTTTTAAATATATAAACACACAAAAAAATTAAGACAAACTAGAATACTGGTTTTTAAATCTAAATAATGATATAAATAAAAAAACTTTATTTCTAAAATAAATTACATACCTGTCTTTCAGTTCCTCAATCTCCTTTTTCTGTGTCAAAGTCTCAACCTGCAACTTGACCTTTTCCTTTGAAACATCGTCCAACAACTTTCGAGCACTGGCCAATTCTTCCTCGAACATTCCCTTAATTTTCGAAGTCTCCTTGACCACGCATTCATCTTTGCTGGTAATGATACGAGTAAGTCTGCCGTTCTCAACTTCCAACGTCCTAACTCTTTCAATATAATTGGCCAGACGATCATTCAATCCGGCCAGCTCATTCTTTTCCTGGAGCCTAGACAGGACAGTTGGAGATGGAGGTCGATTAGAACCCGGCGTACTGCGGAAGCTTTGCGAGGCCGACAATGGCGTCGAAGTAGTCGTTGAACTTTTCGTCACGATAGTCGAGGACGAAGCCGTAGATTTTTTTGATCGATTCGACATAGCCGATCTCAATGTTAAATTCAACAAACCAACTTAATTGAACAAATTAAATCTCAACTACTCCAAAATGGCCGACGATATAACCCACGCGCTAAAACGATCACGTGACGATCTCACAAGTTCGCTAGATTTACTTTTGAATCAGCCAATGATGTCCGCGTAAATCTATTTATAATTTTAAAGCACACTTAACATATGACGGTTGTCATATTATTTATATAGAATAATTACAACTTATACAATAAAACAGATATATATATATATACTATAAATATTTATAAATATTATGTTTTATAAATATATATAAATATATATAAAAAATATATAATAATGATATTAATGGATGAATATATATTATATATATACATTATATATGTATATAAAAAGTTGAAGATCGTAATATCTAATTAAATTAAATAATTATTGATATATATAAATATATATAATATATATAATATATATATATATATATATATATATATATATTCTTGCATGTGCACAAAGTTGAAGATCGTAATAACTAATTAAATGGCCGTTAAGTATTCACATTTAACAAACGAAGAATTAACATTGTAGAGACGCAGTATATATGTACTGAGCATTTGGCCACATACACAACGTATCAATTCGAACACCGAAGATGGTAATAGATAGGAATACCAAAAAAGTTTTTTTGTTCTATTGTGCTTAAGTGTTCTATCATGCTTATCATAAATTAAAATTTTGGTTTTGAACTCAAGAAACTTGACGATGATTTACCATCTACCGTTTGAAAAATTCGAAAAATTGAGCAGAAAGCTAACTAACGCGGAACATGCTGTGCTTTTTATCAATATTCAAATTTCAAATTCAAATAATCTTTTATTCAGTAAAGTATCATTAAATACATAATACTAGGAGACCCGAAGTTTGCACTTGTTGGGCCACCGAAACAGAAATTGGAATAAAATTCGAACAAAGATAAACAATAAGTGATAAAAAAGAAAGAAAAAAAATAGAACCAAACAAAATAGTAATAATTAATCGACAAAAACCTTAGGAACCAAATGAAAACAATAGCAGGGAATTAACCGGTAATGAAAGAGGAAAAATGATTCGTTAAGATTAATTGATAAACTGAATTTTTAAATAAACCAGCAGTATTCAAATTTTTTACGTGAATTGGTAATAAGTCCCAAAGTCGACAAGAGACATGAAAGACGGAATTAATAAAAAAGTTAGTACGAGGTTTAGGAAAATAAAAATCTATATTATGTCTTAAAAATATTGATCGATTATTGATTAAATGATTTAATTGGTGGCACAAGGAAGGACAAAAATTTAATTTAAATAATTTATAAAAAAAACATTAACGTGAAAAGAATGTGTAACTGGTAAACTTTTAAAATTCCAGATGATATAAACAAATGACTGATATGCTCAAATTTTGGTAACCCAAACAAAATACGAATAAAATAATTTTGACAAAGATTCA